TGTACTCAGACCAGTAATATTTGGGGCCACAAGTTTTTGCCATGAATATTTTGTGGGTCAGAAGATAAAAAGTTTGGGAACCAGTGATTTAGAGAACCACTGATCCAGCTTGACAACCTGTCAGTGTTGYCCTCTACTGTCCCCAAGTGGACAAAAATAATATTGCAATGAAAAATGTCATACACAAAGCTCTCAACAACCAAGTTCTAATTGATTATTTTTTCTTAACAAGAATCGCTCTCAGACTGCAGGTTTACTTGTGGTTCCTGGAGTTTCTAAAAGTAGAATGGGAGRCAGAGCTTTCAGTTATCAAGCTCCTCTCTTAATGAATCAACCACCATCACCCCCGTTATTGCTGAGGAGAAGATTTGTTGCAATTAATTGGTTTTCTTAAATAAACAACTTCTTACTAATTAGCATTTTGTAACCTACTGATTCTAAGGGTATAAAAACTGGATTGAACTGAGCCTGCGACGGGTCATGGGGGATTTTTTTTTCTTTTTGCATTACCACGCAAAAGTGATTTATCACTGTTGTGCCTGCCGSTTTATTAACAAACTCACATGTTCACCATTAGCGAGTTAGCCTACTGCTTTAATTCAGCTTCAAAATGAATACAGTATATCACACAGCCACGCATGGAAGTATGTCATATGCTGACATTTGAACACAGTGCAGCCACACAACATCAATGTCAATTTCACGAACTTGTGGAGACATCCTGTTTTGGTAACCGGATATTTCAAAATAAAAGTCAGATTTAATTCAGTTCATATACAAATCAAACTTTAGCGTGGGAACCCAAAACTATATTGCGAGATAACGCAAAAAACCCCCCCAAAAAAAATAAACATGTCCCCTCACAGGCTCCGTAGGATTGAACTGTTGTGTCAGCATTTTAAATATGGATCAGTTTTAATTGCATATTTTAATTAGGACATGTTGCTTTTTATAAACTGCTCAGAAATGACTTGCTGGGAACTGGGTTTATATAAACGGAACTGAACAGGATCAAATGTAAGGACTTGAATGGGTTTTTTGGAAACCTCAAATTGGTGAAGATCAAAGATTGTGAGTTTTATCCTACTTTTCCTCCACTGACATAACTTCCTAACAGTCATGTTTTCTGACTGGTACAATCGCAAAGGCTTCCTTGAACTAGGGTTGGGCATAATCGTATCGTGTGCAATTAATCGTCAGAGAAAACATTGATTAGTTTTTGCACTTGACGATTAATACGATTAATGCCACCAGACAGAGTCCGCTCAGTGCTCCTCCCTGCTTAAAATATGGCGAACATTTAAAAAAAGTTCTGTAATTTATTTATCATCAGTTTAAAATCTGATGTATAGCCTGAAGTCTGTAATTTTGACACAAATTGGAACAGATTTTTACGAAGAGCAAATCTTTCCCACTCAATTGGTCATGTGACTAAGACATAACGGTGTCCAGGAACTCCAGAGGATTAATCATCAAATTAATCGTTTACGGCTAAATACCACAATTAATCGTGATCAATTCTTTTTGCCAATATTGCCCAAGCCTACCTTGAACAAAGTACGAACATTTGAAATTACTATCCGCATGTTTTTAAAGATAAAAGCTCCACCTCCATTTTTCTTTAGAAGAAAGAAAATCAAATTTACCAGCGATTTCACAGCATTCTGTTGTTCCTGCATTATGGCCATATATGTAGAAGCCTGTTCCATGGTGGACAACATGTCCTGCTCTGCCTCGTCGTTAATCTGCAGGTTCACTGAAGTCTACAGGAGAAGACACTGGATTTAATGATCAGATTCAAAATGCTTCAAGAATCAGTTCATTTCCTACAATTACCTTATTTGGTAAAGTGGCCTTCCTGTTAAACATGAGTGAGTAAGGGCTGAACTTGGTGGTGGGGTTGGTGGAGGTGCGGAACAGAAAGAGTGCAGGGTCCAGAAAATCGTCCCATTCCGCCTGCTTCTCTGCCACCATCTGCACCACGGCCTCCTTCAGCAGGGGGCTGGTGCTGTCGTGCAGCGGGTTGAGGTGAGGCTGATCCAGAGGAGCAACTTTGTGCACCAGGTTCCACCTCTCACACAGCAGCTTCGTCACCTGAAGCAACACAAACATGTTCATCAGGGCTAACGTTTCTGACCCGCAAACACGAGCCACGGCAAAGGTTCGGTGCACGTCTCACCTCATCACAGTAGTCAGGACTCTGGGTGCACACGATCATTTTAGGAGCACCGAACCTGAAGAGACACAATTACATCGTAGCAGGTGTGTTTCCTGTTTGTTTTTTTATGTTTGAGAACACTTTTTATATAGTAATCTGGTGACTGCAGACCTTCAAAACACTCTAAAAAGTTGGGACAGTAAACATTTGTGTGCAGTTTTCTGCATTAGTTTTTCTAGTTTTCTTGAAACCATCCATTTCTYAAAACTCTAAACATAAAAGCCAATCTTCAAGCTACTTTTGCAAAACTGAACCATCACCTCAAAACAGTTCAAACTGTGCTCAAAACCAAAAGATGTTAAATCAGACCTTGAGTCAATAAAAAGAAAACTCTACTGAGCAATCATTACACAAAGCACGGATAAAAAACACAATCAAGTCATGAATCACATGGTGAACAAACCAGTTAACGATGACAAAACTGGACCATCAGCCTAACAACTGATCATTRGTGCYCTGATTGAGGGAACAACAGGCAGTCACTCTTCATCTCTCTTTTCAAAAGGAGTCACTATTTCAGGAAGGATGTTATAATATTTGTCTCTCTTTCCTGTCCCCAAAACCCAGCTGGTCGAGGCAGATGGCTGCCAGTCCTGGTCCTGGTCCTGGTGGAGGTTTYTTCCTGTTAAATGGGAGTTTTTTTCCTTCCACTGCTGCCAATGTGCTGCTCAGGATAGGAGAGTGAAGATTTAAAGCTCTCTGCTGGCTTCCTTAGATAGATTGTTGTTTAGTTGTATTTTTTTTGTGCAGTGACATAAGACAACATTTGTTGTGACTTGGTGATTTAAAACTATAGTGAATTGAAATTGATAGGGAGGAATGCTGGTTTGAGGGGAGTAACAGAAGCCGCTGTGAAACCACCCATCATTAAACAGAGKTRGAGGCCTCCATGTCTAGTTGTCCCCTCTTACAATGCTGTTATTGTGAGCAAGACTCAGCCCTCTACCAGGGCCCTAACAATCATTAGGGCTGATGGTCCTCTTTTCCATGTGAACACACAGTTTTGGTTTGTCCACCATGTGGAGGCGGAGCTTATAAGGCTAAGTTTACCTGAAACTCCTCAGACTGAAGAAGTCTCTTGGAGGAGAGACTAAACGTTTTTTTAACAAAGAACCTTTCCAGAGGACCTATTAAACATTTTTTTATAATAATATATTGAACAAATAAAATGTAAAAAAATTACATGTGAAATAACTTTTGTTCAAATGATCTGCAAATAAAGTCTTAATGTTAACTTGTTTTTTTTCTAGATGAGTTGTATCAAAAATAACTACAATCTGAACACTAGAGTTGGGCAGTATGGTCAAGGTTTTATATCACAGTATTTTTAACAATCATCTCTGTCATTGTATCAAAGTCAGTGTTGTATAAAGTACCTGGAAGTGATACTTGAGTAAAAGTACTAGTATCTTATCATAAAATYACTTTGGTAAAAGTTAAAGTCTCCTCTAAAAATATTACTTGAGTAAAAGTCTTAAAGTATCTAATTTATTTTGTACTTAAGTATCAAAAGTAAATTTCTGACATAAAATGTATTTACCGTGTAAGTATTAAAAGTAAAAGTATTGAGTAAAAATGAAYGGTTAGATTTTCCAAAATACATTTATTGGAAGGTGACCTCTTCAAAAAATATTTTTTCTAAAGGTGTGTAGCTTTGAATATTTGTACACAAACTAAATACAGTGTCAGAATGGTATACATTTGTACTTCTCATCCAACTACATTTAAAATCACTCTATTCAGGAGGCACAGTTTATCAGGATAGTATTTTTTTTAACAACAAGCCGAAATGAAATAGGACTAACAACTTTCTACTCCTTACCTTTTTAAAAAAATGTAAGGAGTAGAATGTACAGATAACTGTGTAAAAATGTAAGAAGTAAAAGTAAAAAATGGGCTGAAAAATAATTGCTCAAGTATAATACAGATAACCAAAATTTCTACTTAAGTACAGTGACAAAGTATTTGTACTTRGTTACTTTACAACTCTGATCGTAGTATATTGGAGAACGTTTTCTCTTCCATCAAAGCTCAGGCTGTTGTTCAAATGTCCAAACGCTGCTATTGATCACCTGAAGTTACTCTTTCTGCAACACAAACTATTTCTTGACTAGTTTCTTTTACTGTACCTCTGTCTGCGTCACATTTTCCCTCCTCTGTCACTTCTCTGATTGTGGACATTAGTCTCGCAGTCTGAGCTTACGTCACATTAGCAGTGAAGGGAGGCAGGTACAGTYGTGWATGACGAGGGTTGAGCAAAGATCATCATCAAGCACATTTACTTCACSATGTCTATCTTTGCACGTCATTGAAGAGGTGTAGTCTACATTCAGCAATGGAAAAATGGAAGTTTTTTTGTTTTTTAATCAGCCAAAGTAAGTGATGAAATTGCCACCAGTTATTGAGAAGACTGCTCCTATGACTCTAGTTTGCCCTGTGTGCTGCTAGTTCCAGCATGCACGTGCTGCACGAAAAAATGTTCCCCCCATGAAACAGTTCACTGGCTGCCAGATGTGACGTAACAATCCAAACATGTTCAGGTTATTTAAATTGGCAGGCTGGTATTCCAGAAAATTCATATCATAACTAGACATGGGCCAAATACCGGTTTCAAGTTATACTGTGAGATGAAAAAGTCATGGGCTACGTTCACACTGCAGGTCTTAATGCTCAGTTCCGATTTTTTGAAAAAATCTGATC